CGGTAAGCGATAATATTCAGGTGGAATCATCCCTTTATGATGTACATTGACATTTAATCAAAATAAATATGAATTATTCCCTGCCCGAGGCAATATTTTAATGTGACTAATTTAAGATCAATCCTTAGCGGATCCCAGCCCCTTAACCTACTTGAATCATGACTGCCAATTGAATATTAATTGAAGACATATAATCGTTGATGGTACATCCTTAAGGTCGCATGACCCATTTGTGTGGCGGAGGGGGAAGTCACAGCATTCTGCTGTAGAATTTTGTGGGAACTTCATTCCTTTGCCGCAAACACACAGGAGTGACCCACATAAACTAGAGGGATGTGGGATGGGGGATGGGGGATGGGGGTGCTATGTGCTATATATAAATTTTGAAATTGCTTAGAGATGGAGAGAGCGGGAGAGGCCGAGTGGGAGTCAACTAAATGCTGTTTCCTGTTGATGTGCATCCACGCAGTTTTGCCTTTTGCCTAATGGCCCTGCTGCTGCTGCTCCTCCTGCCGCTTCCTGTCCTTCCACATTTTGATGGAATTTCATAAAATGTCACACACACACACACACACACAGGTAAAAATGTGCACTGTATATAAATATTTATGTAGAATATTGTGTGTGCTTTGCTTTAATTAAATTAAAAACTCTCATTTAGCAACGGGCGAAAAAGTAATTCAAAACTCTGAAAATATCTTCCCACTGAAATCTCCACACAAAAAATTTGATCTAGAGAGAGAGAGAGAGACAGAGAGAGAGATAGAGGGAAAGCAAAAGAGAGTGCATGGGTAGAGAGAAATTGCATTCGGTTAAATGGTTTGGACAAATTTGTTCATTGCATTTCCGTGTCATTTCATCAGAGATTCCTTTTTTAGCACATAGAAGAGAAGCTGCTATCTCCATCTCGCTCTCTCTCTCTCTCTCTCTCTCTGAGCTTGTGTATTTTTATGTTGATGGATATCCTGTATTTCGCCTAGTAAATGTGCATTACAATGAAAAAAAGTACTTTGTTTATGCCACGGCAATTGCTTCTGGTCTGGCCTTCAGCCGCTGCCCGCCTGCCGCCCTTTTGGATATGTCCTGGACTTTGGTTTTGGATTACATTTCCCGGCACTGCCATCCCGTCCCATCCCGCACTGCCCACTGATTGATGTAATTGAGTGAGCGTTTGAGTGATTGACTGACGGACGGGATGAATGGAAGGATAGATGGACGGAGTGAAACCATGCGAATGGAGAGACAGTAGTGCATGCAATGCCATGCCATGCCACGCCACGCCCACCACGCCATGCCATGACATCAAATGTTGATGGATGCCAAAAAACAAGGTCAAGTTGTGTGACCCTTGCCCTCGCAGAAGCGGTCGCCCCAAAACCCTATCCCCAAAGGGATTCCCTCTACTCAATATTTCATTTGTGCAATCAGTGCCCGGCCATGGGGTGTGGGAAGTGGGCACGGGAACACAATCCACGCATCTCTCTTCACTTTCCCTGGGACTTGGACGCTCATCAAATATTTAAATGCCAATTTCACAAATATTGTATGGACTCGCAAATTCAATTTCGTAAATGTAATGGCCAGCAGAAGCAGCAGGAAACAAAATATCACATCTCCTCATCGATAAACAAAGTAGGAAATTAAAAACAAAACAAAAGAGACGAGATGGGACGTGTGAGACGCTTCTTAAGCGTCACAACTTTTATACTACATCTGTACCTTAGTGGTTCTTTTCCAAATTTTACATTTTTTCTTCTTCTGTCATCTACATCTACAACACTTCTCACGCCAACACGCTCCAAGCTATGAATATTTGCAAGTTCTTTTCCTTTCCCCTTTTCCCCCTTTCCTTTTTCTCCAGTCGAAACATCCCCAGTAGCTTGTGTTGCATGCCACAGACAAATGCTGGCCTGGGCATGTGTGAGGGCACAAAAAACTTCTCCTCTCTATAAGTAGAATATGTATCTTTAGGATATTCAAACGAGCCGAGCCGAGCCGAGCCGAGCCGCCTCCCGGCCTTTATAGGACATGCAACAAGAGGAGGGCAGGCCGCAACTTTTGTGGCCGCAAAGTATGCAATAATAAATTGAGCAATTGTCGCTGTGGCAGGGTTAAGGGGCGGAAGGATGGCAGGATGGCTGGATGGCTGGATGGCTGGTGGTGGCAAGTGCGGGCAGGACGCTGGAGTGGCTGGCACTTGGCGCGCACGTAATGAGCATATTTGTAGCACACTTCTGAGCCTTACGTGAGGCAGTGTAACTCCTGCCACTTCCTGCCACGTTGTGTGTGTGTGTCCTTTGAGGGAAAGTTTATGCTGGTTATTTTTACTTGCTACCTTTTCCCCACTTCTTCCTCACCCTGACACTCTAATCCTCACTTGAGCCGAATTTCTGGTCGATTCATCGCACACACAGATACACATTCATAGGTGGCTAAGGCGTGGCACCAACAGAACCAGGATCAAGAGGAGCAACGGAATAGACCCTATCTTTCAAGGGCTTCCAAATGCAACTCAGGTTTCGCCCCTAGCCACCCCTACATTTCAGGCTGTAACATAATTATTATTGCAACTAAAATATGGAAGGGGAAAAATTCTCAATAAATCTGAGCGGCCGTTTGCCCGTGTGCCCGTGTGCCCTTGGGTATCTGCATTTAATGGCCGTCACAGGAGCCCAGCAGCAGCAGCAGCAGCATAATTAGGAGATGCCTGGATCCATTTCCCGAAAGATCCAAACACACACAAAACTAGGACGAAACCCAACACTGCCCTGAGTTATGGGCCATTGTCCTGGCTGCTGGGTGCTGGGACCTTGGGATTCCTTGCTCATTAAGCAGCAAATTGTAATCCAAGTCGATTGCATTTGCATTCGATGTACTCCCTCCACCTTAACCGTTTCCCTGTCTTTCGCTGTCTGGCAGCTCGCAGAAATTGAAAGTTCAAAAGCGCAAAAGAGCGTAAATTCATTAAACGCGTGTTGGACTATTTTTGGACAGACCCAGAAGGATGCCCAAACCGCACAACCCGCTTTCCAAGTCTAACGAGCTTCCCGCTTTAACAATGAGCGAAATTTTGCAGCTCATTGAATTTGAAGTCATGTGTAACATGACAGCACAGAAGGTGCTCCGAAAAAAAGAGAAACGTAAAGGAAATCAGAGGGCGTCCGATTTGGGGGCGCTGCGACAGGGGCACGAGTGTAATCAGTCAGCTATGCTCGTACTGATCTGAGTCCACCATTGGTTGGGCCACCAGCTGCGGGCATAAATGTTACACACAAAGGACTCTACGCCTCCTGGAGAGCGTCGCGTCGCATAGCGTAGCGTCTGCTGTCGAAAATATAAATAAAGAGAAGCCCCAAACGATGAGGAATCAAGGAGGGGAGGTGCGGGGTGGGTGCCGCCGTCACAAAGAAAAATCAGTAGGCATGGCCCCGCCAACAAATTCAAAAAGCCAACAATGCAAAAGAAAATAACAGCCAATTGACTTCGCCACGAGCACAAGCAGCACAGCCAAAAGCCCCACAGCCACCAGAACAGCAGCCCAACAGCAGTCCTATTCTTGGTGACTGAGAGAGAGATAGAGAGAGAGAGAAAGAGGGAGAGAGGAAAATCCGCGTCAAAGTCAGTTGCACGAGGCCATGACCGTGGGTTGCAGTGAAAGAAGCCCCCCAAAGTGATTCCGAAAAAGTGCTAACCAAAAGCCCAAAGAAATCGAAGCGAACCTCTACGGCCATGGCCCTGACACTGCCACACGGGCATAGTGCCGCTAACGCTGACGCCATCAGCTAATTCCATTAGGCGCCAACGTCAAAAACGTTGTCCAAGAAATCGGATGTTACGTGGCTTCCGGCTCGAACGAGACTCAGATTCAGACTCAGCCTCAACCGTTGTGTCAGTCAACCAGCTGTGCTCGAACCAACAGATTGCCCCCAAAAAACGACCAAAGTCTGATAGTGCCTGAATGTGCTAAGGCTCTAGAGGATCTGCCAGTGTGTATCGAATCCTGTGTGTGTGTGTGTGTGCCTCCATTTTGTAGCAGTGCTTGTATCTGTGTGAGTGTGGTGTTCCTTTGAGATTATCAAAATGTTTCCTTTTTTTTAAGTGAGTTTAACCTTAACCATCAAAAATTCTGAATAAGAATAAGAAACTGACACATAACCAGTCAATAACTAATTTATAACCAAACAGAAAATCTCATTACATGCCAGAATTTGTTTAACCTGTTCAAAAACGACACAAAAAAAAACTCCTTCGAATCGAAATCAGCTCAAAGCTCAAAAACAGCTACGAAGCGTTTCTCCTACTCGACTATGCCAATGGGAATTGATTCTGGAATGTGACAACACCCATAACCGATGAAAATCCCAATTGAAAATGCATTCAGCATTCCCTTTGATGAATGCTCCATGCTGGAAACGAGGCAATCGATTCCTCTTAATAATTGAGGATTTATGAATATATGGTTGGAAGCATTTGAATTGCTATTCTGGAAAGTTCCGGGTTCCAGGTCTCGGGTTCCCCGAAAAATCAACTAAAGACAAAAGGACACAAAACCGAAACAAGACTCAAAAATGGCAAGCCACACACAGAAATAAAAACAGAGACAGTAGAGAAAGTAGAATGGGAGAGAAATGGGGGAGACATTCGACCACGAAGCGAAGGTCACACACATTCGATTCAAAATTGGAAATTGTTCGACAATGTACTCGACCTGTGTGTGTGTGTGTGAGTGTGTTTATGTTGGTGTGTGTGTAGCACGGGGGAAAAGACAAGCTACAGGAAGTGGGAGCTGGACTTTCATTTCCATTTCCTGACCCACAATTGTCGAAGACCACGCTCCCACCTCCACAATACGAGTATATCTGTCTATCCCGCTGTCCGATTGTCTGTCTTGTGGGTTGCTTGCGTGGGTGCATGCCACTCAGCTGGATTGTTTTTGTGCTAACCATCAGGTTTCCTATGTTTGTCTAATGGGTGTATTGTTCTCCATTTTATAATTGCAGCCAAAACGGATTGCATAACCAGTGAACGGAAACGCGAAAGGCAGCGGAAACCTTGCACGTTGTAGGTGGAAAATCCCTAAGAATTAGTTCAATTATCCAAACAAACAATCCCCACTCGTTTCGAGGGCATGGACTGCTGCTGTGTAGACCATGTGATCTTCTACAATAAACGCAATTGTATATAAACTAAAAGAACACAAAACACTGAAACCAAAACCAAAACCAAAACCAAACGGAGACACCGATATACTTATAGTAACCGCAACAAACGGATTACAATCGATAGCATCCGATACCAAAATATATCCAACATGTTCCAGAACTAAGCACCGAGAAGATAAATCCCTAAAAAGAGAGAGATAGAGAGAGAGATCAGCAAAGCATATGTAGATCGGATATAGGTTATAGCAAAGAGGTCGCAGAGATATTTATGCGTGGGCCCCACATTTGGCAAAGGTCAAAGCTTTGAGCCCTCCTTCCCTGCTGTGAGCTGTGAGGTGTGAGCTGTTAAGCTGTGGAGCTTTAAGCTGTACGCTGTGAGCTGTAAAGCTGTGTAGCAAATATGACCAAGAAGTACGAATTCGATTGGATTATACCGGTGCCGCCGGAGCTGACCACTGGTTGTGTCTTCGATCGTTGGTTCGAGAACGAGAAGGAGACCAAGGAGAATGACTTTGAGCGCGATGCCCTCTTCAAGGTCGATGAATATGGATTCTTCTTGTATTGGAAGAGCGAGGGTCGGGTAAGTGTTGAGGAGACTATAATCATAAGTCTGTTTTGTCTTTGCTCTCTAAATCTATTATGTTTGTATTCCATTTGCGCAGGATGGCGATGTCATTGAGCTGTGCCAAGTGAGCGATATTCGTGCGGGCGGCACACCCAAGGTTAGTATCTTCAGGGAGAATTTCATTCAAAGAAATATTTAGGAAGTGCTACTACTCGTGCCATAATAAAGTTAACCATTGCCCGTGACATGTCCCTGTCCAACTCACTTCTGGCTGCACCAGTACGGATCGAAATAACTGAAAACCTTCATCTGCAATCAATCCACAAATAAAAGCAAACCTAATTGTACTTTTGAGGGAAAATCATTCAGGAATGTCTATAGTGGAAATGATGGCTATACTGGACTTTCTCTCTGCTGTCAAAGTGCCTGCTGCCAGTTTTGTTCACTAATTTGTTCCAATTTCTATTCCCATCACAGCCTTAATCTATGCAAACAACTTTTGACTGAGCTGCAGTTTCCTCTTCCTTCCTCCCGTCAACCAACACACAAAGCCATACAACTATCCATGTGCTGAAAAATAGATACATACAAGTATAAACGAGTGTGTGTGGATGTGGCAGAGTGTCTGTGGCAGTGTGTCAGGCAGTCCGTGTGTGTCTGTAAATGTGTCAATATGTCACTTTTGCTCTCAATTGTTTTGCAGCCGGAGCCATTTTGGGATCAAAGTCGTCCTTGTCGTCGTATCGTCGACTTGAAGGCATTTTCGTTTCCAATGCGTTTGGATTTATTGTCACCCGGTGACTGGCCACGCCCCAGTTGCTTCACACCATTACGTCCCACAGCCCCCCCCCCCCCCCCCCCCCCCCCCCCCCCCCCCCCCCCTCGACAGACATGACACATTGCAACAAAATTGTTAGTGGAGCGGACAGGACAGGACAGGATGGGACAGTATTTGTATTTGTCTGTGAACATCGGGGTATCCTAAAGGAAATTTATGACCTAGCGAGCTAAGAGAGAGGCAACAGGAAAATAACCTATATATCTATATATACATAGTGCAATGTGCTGGGGTATACGGGTTTATCCGTGCGGCAGGTGCTGCTGCTAACTAATTTAGATTTGCCGCCTAGCTACCATGCCCCATGCCACCTCGATGACTCACATTTTAATGGGTCACACACAAAAACAAACACAGAGAGGAGAGGAAGTGAAAGTGAAAGTGAAACTGAGGCTTGGACAAGTGCATCCATCCATTCATCCAGGACGGACACGCCCTGGCCTCTGGCCAATATGCCAAGCCACAAGACTGCTTGGTGCACGACATACGAGAGGAGTGGCAATGGGAGGAGCAGGAGGAGGGGCAGCAGCAGGAAGAGACGCCACAGCAATTGGGTTAACAGTGCAACACACAGCCGGACACACATCCGGACCTGTGTGTGTGTGTGTGTGTCTGCTGCCCCCAAATTCGTGACGAGTAAAGGCAGTTGCTATTATTTTCAGTGAAAAGCATTCTTGAACCGAATTTTGAGCTAGAAATATTCGATAAGCCTTCCACATGCATTTTTAGTGTCTAGAGGGAATTATGGTAGATAATCCCATTAGAAAGTTTTTTGCACGTTCACCGACAAATTCAAAAGCAACTGAAAATGCAGCTGAAACCCTCAATGAACTCTCGAGAGCTAATTGGCATATGAATTACCCTTTGAATTCAGCTCTCAGAAATCTGCGGCAGCGGGAAAATATGTGACGGATGAAAGGGAGAGAGTCGAGCCAGAAATCCTTGCTGCAACAGCATCCAACCAGCCAGTATTCATTCTGGAGTTTTTATCGGAATAAAAATTAAACTTTTGGGGATAACAAAATATTATCCCACAGTTCAGCAGAAAATGTAATCTGCGAAAGCAGCTTAATGGATGGGCGAATGCTCCTCTGTTCTGTTTTCATAATTCACGTTAATGCACTCGTCCGAGTGTGTACATTTCCACTCATGGACATTCATGAAGTTTTCTACATAAATTGCTTCATTACTTTGATGACAAACTTTTTCCGCTTTTTCATAAGATTGTTCCTCATAAAATGTATAATTTCCAACACAGAAATAAGTTTTGTCGAATGTTGAGGCCGGGCGGCAGATTATCGCTGGGTAAAGGTACACATCGGAAAAGCAAATTAGTCACTTTCAGTTCAGTTCACTTTCAGTTCAGATCGCGTTGTGGCGTTTAATGAGCCGTTAAAATACCTAAATAACTCATTTTAAAGTGTACAAATCCACAAAAACAAGTAACCCAAAGAGAAATACCCATAAGCTCATGAAAAGAAAGGTTTTTGGGCAATTTGATAAATAATTGTAAAGAAAACTTCAAGCCGGAACCATAATATTCTAATTCCTGATGGTTTATTATTGAGCAAAAATGAGCAAAACTTGCAAGAAATGCGTTTAATGATCAAAGATACATTTATGTGCACATATACATATGTACGTGTGTACGTGCTTGGGTGTGTGGTATGTGGGTATAGCTATAGCTGTGTGTAGGAGTGCCGGGTGGAACAGTACCTTGAGAGATAAAATGACTATACAGTACCTCATTATACGCATTTCTTGCAAGTTTTGCTCATTTTAGCTGCTGCTGCCACTGCTGTTCGAGTGGCGAGTGTTGCACTTTAAAAACGCTTTCTTCAATCCACAACTAAACTAAATACATAAGTAAGTAAGAAGTAAGGAGTAAGTAAGAAAGAGAAGGAGATAGAGGTAGAGACGGAGGGGTAGAAATAGCAAGTGGTTGTAGGGGGGAGTTTGCGTTTTGAGTGGAAGACCGATACACGAGTCAAAGCCTCCTAAGTGGCAGTCGCACAATGGACCATTAAAAGCAGCCTCGTGTCGCTGCCACACTGAAAGAAAGTGAAGAGAGAGAGAGAGGGAGAGTGGGAGTGGGAGAGGGAGAGGGAAAGAGACTAAGCCACAGAGGGGCACTGGCAGACAAAAAAGGAACGAAGAGGTGAGCTGAGTTGAGGTGAGTTGAGGTGAGAACTAACAACGCAGTGTGAAGAGTGAAGGGGGCAAAAGGTGATAACTGAAAAACGAGCTTATGTGCAATTTTTTTAGCCTCTTGAAGCCCACACACACCGTATTTCACTCTCTCTCTCTCTCTCTCTCTACTGTTGGTCCCCGCCTCCTGTTTGAGCTTTTCAATAATGCAAGAAGTCCCAGCTTGAAGCGCCAAAGCCACCGCCTCTGCCTCCGCCTTCGTTTCTGTTACCGTTTTAGCTAACGCCTCCGCTTCTGCATCTGCCTTCGTCTCCGTATCCGCCTTTTCCTCCTTCTCCCCCTCAATATCAATATCTGCCATCCCCACTCTGCCAGCAGATTCACTCTCCGCCTTCTGTCACCCACCCCCCGCTCCATCTGGCCCTCATCTGCTCTGCGGAAAAAGTACGTCAGCAGCAGCAAAATCAGCAACAACAATAGAAATTGAAAGCAAAGCAAGGGGCAAAAAAAACACACACACACACCATCACACGCACACACTGTAGAATGAAAGAAAGACCGAATGCACTATGGGGCATTTGACCACTTTTTGTGGCATTAATTTCTTCTTTTCTTCAGGGTAAAATTGAATTTTTATTTTATTTTTAAATTGAATCACACAAAAAATGATGGGAATATGTAAAGCAATGCCATATTATCCTTAAAAAGTTGTGCCCGTTGTTAAAAATGGAAAAGTAGAAGATAATCGGATTTTTACATTGACTTCCGACTATAGTGCAAGCAGCTGATTTTCTTTGAGTTGTTGAATTTTGGACACAATACTTCCCAAGCACTTCCCGTCAGTGCAGAGATACTGGAAATGTCTCATCGTTATTATAATTGTACAATTGAGCACGAATGTAGCCAATCTGCACAGTTTTTTTCGATTTGTTTCAAGTTTTCCGTGAAATTGTTCAATTTAATCGACAAACTGTAAAAAAAGTTCTTCAAAGGGTCTACAAATAACCCTTGTCATTCTCAAGGCTAGTGACAGGTATTAACACTTAAATGCAATGCAAATCGGCATCTTCTTCTGCAATTTTCTTCTGGACTGAGTTAACATTGCAAACAACTCAGAATTTCCAAACTTTAGGTAATGTTACAAAAACTTAAATATCTGCGAAGACGCAGAAAAGCGCCAGAAAAAATAGCATAAAATGGATTAAGAATTGAATAATTTACAATATCTATGCAGTTTAATGCTTCCGGTGGGATCCGAACACTTTGTAAGTCTAATCAAAGACAAATTTTCGTCACAAATGTGGGCTTGTTTAAAAAAATAGCCCCTAAACATATTATGAGGTCAATTTTTTAATTTCAAACTCACAAACACGTTTTAAACGCCTGTCTAGATCGAGAATACTGTACAAAATTGTTAAAGAGTTGTTAATTGTTCGTATTGTTCCTGTTAATTTTTTGGGTACGTAATCTGCTAAAAAAAATATTACTTATTTTATTTTTGACATATGAGTTTCGGCCAGAAAAAGTTGTGAAATGTCCCATAGTGGAATGGAGCAAAAAAAAAAGAACTTTTATAACATTTGCTTTCACTTTATTTCGGTTTAGGGAGGGGTGACACGGAGACGAAGGAGCAGCCGACTTATTTAGCACTGGAAAGTATGCTACAGTTGCTCAAACCCTGTCCCTTTCCCACTCTCCCACCCACACCTACTCCCTCTAACACTCTCTGTCTAACCCCTCTCTCTTTTTTTTGCACACAATTTGCACTCGAACTGATTGAGCCTTTGAGTGTGTGTCCTGTCCATAATGCGGGGAGGCGGAGGATCCTTGCATTATTCAATTTCCTACAAGAACTGAATCATTCAAGTGGGTGGTTTGGAGCCCCAAGGCGACCAGGAAGGATGCGAGAATCGGCCAAGAATCTCCACGTAGAATCAATCATGGACAGCGACAGATAAACAAAAGAAAAAGACGGAAAGCCAAAGACTGAAACCCCATCATAAACAAGAATGTTTTATCAAACTTTAAGGATAAATGTTTCAATGTTAAGCCGCCCACAGAAGGAGCGAGAGAGAGAGTGAGAACTCAAAACAAAAGCAGAGAAACCACAATAATCGCATTAATTTCTTGTATATGTAGTTTATTTATGGAACAATTAATCCGAAAAAAGTGCTCCCCGCCTTAACACTGATTTGGGGTATTATTGTCGAGTGGTGTACGTGCTACCAGCCTTACCAGCCTTACCACGGATACCATATTTACGGATCAAAGAAACCGTGGGCGCAGTGAAGTTAATGCAATTAACAGTACAAGTATCGCTCTCTCTCTCTCTGTTTCGCTGTTGGTTTTTTCTATAAATAGGAAATGTTGTTTACTTGATACCGAGAAAAACAAAAAATAAATTGGAGGGTGGCAAAATAATTGGTGGCACTGCGGCAAATATAATTCGATTCCCAAATTGAGTTCCGAAATCCGAAACGAAGGGCAAGGTCAAATATATAAATCTGACTTCTGACGTCTGTTTTTGTTTTTTGTATTTTGTTGTTGCTTTTGGCTTTCGATGTGCATTCGAGCGCTGCACTGAATTTTGATAAATGCCCTTTGATGCCCACGCCTTGATTAATGATGCGACCCACGAGATTAATGTTGTTGCTGCTGCTGTTTCCCTCTTTTTGTGCCCAGATTGCAGTCAGGGTAGAACAGCTTGAGCAAATTAATCTCTTATTTATGTTCGTTTTTTGTTGGTTTTTTGCTTGCAGGATCCCAAGATACTGGATAAAGTGACCAAAAAGAATGGCACCAATATCCCGGAGCTGGACAAGCGATCTCTCACTATATGCTCGAACACGGACTATATCAATATAACATATCATCATGTTATCTGCCCCGATGCGGCAACAGCCAAGGTAAGTGCCAAGTGAGTGAGTGGCAGGTCAGGGAACGACTGAACTGACACTACATCTACTGCATCTCTCTCTACCTTCATCTGAATAAGTATCTGAATATCTGAATATCATATCGCGTTTGTGTCCATCACCATCACCGACAATCAATCCTTTCTACTCTTTTAGATCTGGCTAGATGGCATCCGAAAAATCACCCATAATGTCAAAGCGAATAATATCTGTCCCATGATGTGTTTGAGAAAACAGTAAGTCCACTTCCTTCCATTGCCTGCTGGTTATGGGTTCTTTGTTCTGTTTTGTGACTCTGCGTGTAACTCGACCCGACCTAGAGTGGGGTCTGCATGATGGGTCTTCCTCCCTTTCTTTTCTCGCCACACATTAGTGCCTTTTGGTGCACCGTCACTCGAATACGAGTACTCACAATTGCATTCATCTACCACCCACTACCTTACTTACACTCTATATTGACTCTTTTTCTATCTCCATCTGTTGCATGTTGCTGTTGCTTTTGTTCTTTACTATCTATTATTACTTTTTCTCCTCACGCTCTTGCTCTCTATTATCACTTCATGTTTGTGTGTCTCTTGAGACAGAGTTGGCAAAAGAATTTGCGTATCATAACGCATAACAATCGCGCCACAAATGTCTGTCCGCGCACCAATCTGATGAAGCAGTAAGTACGAAATACGCTCGAATCTATGATACCCTGTGTACTAGCTTATTGACACCCCAAAGCCTGTATAAAAGTAAGATGCGTAACCATATGACCAGCCTGGAAGTTGCACGTTGCTCGTCTAACTATTTATGTTTGCTTTGGAGACACCTCCGTACAGATGCTAGTCTTTCAAACACAGTTCTCTGGGTATCCTGGGTATCCTGGGTCCTGAGTAAGTACAGAAGAAGGTTCCTATCTTGTCGAATGAACATGAACCTCTTTCTCTCTTGGTAGATGGCAAACTTTAAAATAAAAACTGACAACAGTTCGCGCATATCCAGTTCTCCATTGATGGCTGAACTTTCCACTCAAATATTTTCATTCCGGCAGCATTAATATTCCTGATTGGTCATTATGCGATTCCGGGAAATACCTCGCTGCAATTTGATCCATGGAAAAAGTCAAACAGAAACTCAAACCTAAACCCATTTCGTAGTCGTTGTCGGTGGCTCTGTTTCTGTTTCTGTTTTTAACCCAAAATAAATTCATTTAATTTGCATTTGCTGCCATTTTCGTTAGCTGCTCCAAAAAACACAGAGAGAAATGGGCTGGGGAAATGGTTGGGGGACAGGATAGGATAGGGTAGGACAGGCCAGTGCTTGGGAGGTGTAGATGGGGCCCAGTGGCTGCTGTTCCCATACCCATCGAAGCGAATAAAACGGAAGCAGGGTGCAACGGCTATGTTGACACCTAGCTAGGACTATGAAGGAGCGGCTTTGCTCAGGAGGTGTGCAGGAAAAATAGTGAAACATTAAACAAAATAACTTTATAAACGAAACTTTATAAAGTATAATCCATCTGCCAGTCATTTGGATGATTATTTGATATCTTAGCATAATGGAATATTGTGTAGTTCTGCATTATTTGTTGCTGCTGTTGTTGCTGCCTGATATACCCTGCCAGAAAAAGTACATTTCCATGGATATTTATGCTTGCTTCGTCTCGGGCTGACTCTGGTTCGGGGTCTGCCACTGCGTCTGGTTTTGGTTGTGGGTCCATCTTTCGGCTTGGCTTGTTTCAATGTTGCTGTTGGGGCATTTTCGTTAAATAAGTTGCTTTGGAAATGATGGGTGGGAATGCGCTAGCAACATCTCCAAAATTGGGTTAAACCGCTCAAAGTTTTCTGGAGTCTGGAGCTCTGATCTACATATGTCTACAATACTCGTGCAGTTGGTACTTTGTATGCCGCTGCTTTCAGTTTCAGTTCAGTTCAGTTCAGTTTCAGTTGTAGTCAGTGGTCAATGGCCGGAGTAAAATGAGGAAAGCAAACTCTCTGGGAAACTGGGAGCTGGGATCTGGGATCTGGCAGCTTTGAGATGTGGTTCATTGAATATGCGCTGCCAGTGGCACGGCACTGCTTCAGCTTCAGCTTCAGTTTCAGCTTCAGCTGCTGTTCTCTGAAACAATTCAAAAGGGTGGCAGGATGGTGTGGGGTGGCTGGGTTGTGTGTTGCAATCGAACAACCGTGTTAACCACACGGACGTGGTAGCCCAACACCTGTTCCAGTGGCAGTGGCAGTGGCAGTGGCATGTAGGTAACACGACCGTTGCATGTTGCCATTGTAAATTAGTTGTCCTACTTTGCAATTTGTTTCTGATTGCATTATTCATGCGTCATTCATGCGGCGTTGGGTGGCATGGGGCATGGGACATGGAGCACGGAGCCGGTGCCGTCGCAATTACTTGACCCGCATCTAAACGGCCTAAAAGGCGGTAGACCCGCACCACCCAACACCCGAGCGAAAGTTCGACATGCAATCGCTTGAACGGATATGGACATTGACATGGACAAAAAGAGCGGGCGAGCAGCCGGTCTCTCACGTATCCTCTCCGTTCTGTTGCTCCGTTCCAGTTGCGGTTATCCATGCAAATTGATTCAAATTCAAGTCGATTCGATTTCAATTAGTTATGAGGTTGTGCCACGTTTTTGGGGCAGGCAACTGCAGGCCTGTTGGCCGGCGCATCGTTAATCATCTGCCAATCAATTTGAAATTGGATACGGGGTCGTGTCAGCGTTTAACTAAATTACAAATTAAATTTTAATTTTACTGCTATCGGTGTATTAAAACTGGATTAGGTCAACCTGAGTCCCAGTCCCAGTCTCAGCTTCAGATCTTTCAGTCTTTTTACCAACTCAATTTGGACAGAATTTCAATTAAAATCTTTGCTGTAAATCTTAGTCAGAGCCATCAAAGGTATGTACATAAATATGCACCCAAATAAGTATTTATCCATCCAGTTGCTGTTGCTCTCTAGTGTTGGTTTTTCTGTTATTTAGAGTCTGAATTAGTCTAAAGAGTATCTCTGTTATATACTTACATCTGCTATCCAAATCTTAGCTGGATGCGTTTGAGTTATTGTGTGGAGAAGAGCGGCAAGATACCGGTCAAGACGCTGGCAAAAACATTTGCCTCGGGCAAAACCGAGAAGCTGGTCTACACTTGCATCAAGGATGCGGGTCTGCCGGATGACAAGAATGCCACCATGACTATGGATCAGTTCACTTTCGATAAGTTTTATGCCCTCTACCACAAGGTCTGTCCACGCAACGACATCGAGGAGCTCTTCACGTCCATGTAGGTGTCGCTCGAACACACTCGGTGATGTTCATCCTCCGCTAATCCTCCGCCCCCTTCCCCCTTTATTGTAGTACCAAAGGTAAACAGGACTTTATCAGCCTGGAGCAGTTCATACAGTTCATGAACGAGAAGCAGAGGGATCCGCGCATGAACGAGATTCTCTTTCCCCTCTACGAAGAGAAGCGCTGCACGGAGATCGTCAACGACTATGAGCTGGACGAAGAGAAAAAGAAGAACGGCAAGTGTCCTTGCATTTATTTCGCGTGCTGCTATTGTAACATTCTCTCCCCATTTGCAGTTCAACTTTCGCTGGACGGATTCAAGCGCTATCTGATGTCCGATGAGAATGCACCTGTGTTCCTTGATCGACTGGACTTCTACATGGAAATGGACCAGCCACTGGCCCACTACTACATTAATAGCTCGCATAACACCTACTTGTCCGGCCGACAGATCGGTGGCAAGAGCTCCGTGGAGATGTACCGCCAAACGCTGCTCGCCGGCTGTCGGTGCGTGGAGCTCGACTGCTGGAACGGCAAGGGGGAGGACGAGGAGCCGATTGTCACCCACGGTCATGCCTACTGCACGGAAATTCTCTTCAAGGTAAGCTTCAAGCTTCAACCCAACAAATGTGTGTGCACTTTCTGAACGTGTTGGCTTCTGCAGGACTGCATCCAGGCCATTGCGGATTGCGCCTTTGTCTCGTCCGAGTATCCGGTGATTCTGTCCTTTGAGAATCATTGCAATCGGGCCCAGCAATACAAGCTGGCCAAATACTGTGATGACTTTTTCGGGGAGCTGCTGTTGAAGGAACCCCTCGCAGATCATCCGGTAAGTGCACCTCCACAGCCGAATCACTCACTCCACTCATGGATATTGGCATTCCTTCACCCTCCAGCTGGATCCGGGACTGCCCCTGCCGCCGCCATGCAAGCTGAAGAAGAAGATACTCATCAAAAACAAGCGTATGAAACCCGACGTAGAGAAGGTCGAGCTGGAGCTGTGGCTGAAGGGCGAACTGAAGACCGATGATGATCCCGAGGAGGACGCCAGTGCCGGGAAGCCCCCAGAGGCTGCGGCCGCACCCGCACCAGCACCCGAGGCGGCAGCTGCTGCTGATGGTGCTGCCGAGGGTGGTGGTGGTGCCGAGGCTGAGGCAGCGGCTGCCAACTACAGTGGCTCCACCACCAATGTACATCCATGGCTCTCATCGATGGTCAATTATGCTCAGCCCATTAAGTTCCAGGGCTTCGATAAGGCAATTGGTAAGCGATATGTTATCGATATTTTATCGACGCCTTATCGAAATCGTATTGACATTTTATCCATTAAGTTTATAAGAACATTGATATAGTTCGATAGGAATAGGAATGTGTATTTATCGATTACTTGTTAGGTGACTTCTGTGCTAAATTGCTCACTTATGATAGATCCTCGAGGTTCGTTGGGAAACCCACTATTTTGTAGTCGAAAATTCTTCGATATTGATGGATTAGGTTTAAAAAAACTTCGATGAGATCAGAATATGTGGTCTGATAGATACCATTAGTCATTTTATTTGGCATTTCAATGCCCTGTGTACAAGTAATGATCATGGACAAGGACGATCAAGTTCGAGTTGTCAATGCCCTTCAAATTTGTTTCAAAATGAGTCTTCAACCGATTGTTTCGTATATGCGTTTCTTTGCCACCCACAGAGAAGAACATTGCCCACAACATGTCCTCGTTTGCGGAATCGGCGGGCATGAATTATCTGAAGCAGAGCTCCATTGATTTTGTCAATTACAACAAGCGCCAGATGTCGCGCATCTATCCGAAGGGCACCCGGGCGGACTCTTCGAACTACATGCCGCAGGTGTTCTGGAATGCCGGCTGCCAGATGGTGTCGCTAAATTTCCAAACCTCCGATCTGCCTATGCAGCTGAATCAGGGCAAGTTCGAGTACAATGGCGGATGTGGATACCTGCTGAAGCCGGACTTTATGCGGCGTGCGGACAAGGATTTCGATCCGTTCGCAGACGCACCCGTGGACGGTGTGATTGCGGCCATGTGCTCGGTGAAGGTGATTGCCGGACAGTTCTTGTCGGACAAAAAGGTGGGCACCTACGTGGAGGTTGACATGTTTGGTCTGCCCTCGGACACCGTGAAGAAGGAGTTCCGCACCCGTCTGGTGCCCAACAACGGCTTGAATCCAGTTTACAACGAGGACCCGTTTGTGTTCCGCAAGGTGGTGCTGCCGGATCTGGCCGTGTTGCGGTTCGGCGTCTATGAGGAAAGTGGCAAGATGATCGGTCAGCGGATCCTGCCGCTGGACGGACTCCAGCCGGGATATCGCCACGTGTCGCTGCGCACAGAGGCCAACTTCCCGATGTCGCTGCCGATGCTGTTTGTGAACATCGAATTGAAGATTTACGTACCTGATGGCTTTGAGGACTTCATGGCCATGCTGTCGGATCCACGCGGCTTTGCCGGCGCTGCCAAGCAGCAGAACGAGCAGATGAAGGCCCTGGGCATCGAGGAGCAGAGCGGCGGGGCCGCCCGGGATGCCGGCAAGGCCAAGGAGGAGGAGAAGAAGGAGCCGCCGTTGGTTTTTGAGCCAGTCACGCTTGAGTCGCTGCGCCAGGAGAAGGGTTTCCAGAAGGTAGGCAAGAAGCAGATCAAGGAACTGGACACGCTGCGCAAGAAGCACGCCAAGGAGCGCACCTCCGTCCAGAAGACTCAGAACGCGGCCATCGACAAGCTGATCAAGGGCAAGAGCAAAGACGACATTCGCAACGATGCGAACATCAAGAACGCCATCAACGACCAGACCAAGCAGTGGACCGACATGATTGCCCGCCACCGCAAGGAGGAGTGGGATATGCTGCGCCAGCATGTCCAGGACTCGCAGGACGCCATGAAGGCCCTCATGCTGACCGTACAGGCTGCCCAGATCAAGCAGCTAGAGGATCGTCATGCCAGGTATGACGCGCACCAATCCTCCATTCTTCCTTGGATTAATGCAATCTTTTTCGTTTCGCATCTGAAGGGATCTGAAGGAACTGAATGCCAAGCAGGCCAAAACTTCGGCGGATACCGCCAAGGAGGTACAGAACGACAAGACACTCAAGACCAAGAACGAGAAGGATCGTCGTCTGCGCGAGAAGCGTCAGAATAATGTCAAGCGCTTCATGGAGGAAAAGAAGGTAAGTAGAAGAAATCCACCAAACTTTTTATAGAATCAAGTTTGTGACCCATGCCATTGTCTTTCTCTTCTGCAGCAAATCGGCGTTAAGCAGGGACGCGCCATGGAGAAGTTGAAGCTGGCGCACTCGAAACAGGTCGAGGAATTTAGTACCGATGTGCAAAAGGTACTGAACGAAACACGACCTGAAACCGACACTATTACCAGTATTGAGACTGTACTTTAGACAACTATACCTACCATACCATGAATAGCTAGAGAGCGATCAACCATAAACGATAAACGATAAAAGCAAAAACATAGAACAACTAAAAGCGAACGAACAGAAAAAGAAATAATAAAGAAATGCATCCCTATTCGTATCCGTATCCGTAACCGTAACCGTAATCATAATCGTATCCGTATTGATGAGATCAGATCAGATGGGATGAGATGAGATGAGTGCAGTGCAGTGCTGTGAGAGAGTATGGGAGTATCGGAGTAGCGGCCCTGGGGATGCATCTTCCGATAATGAATAACGATAACGATAACCAATGAACCACAACCACACCTAACCGAATCAAATATCAAATATCAAATTGAATCAAATCGAATCGAATCGAATCGAACCGCAAAACCCACAACCCAACCCAACTTGTATCTGAATCTGTATCAATAATCGATCAGTAACCAGTCGTAGTAGCTGCTAAACTTTCAAACTAACTGCTAAGATGTAATTATCTATACCAACTATTTCCTATACTCGTATATACATATATAGTAGTCGTATATATATATATATCTATCTATCTATTGTAATTCATCGATTGCCTGTCCCCCCTCCACCGCCACCTTCCTGCGTCATACTCTGTTTTTGTTTCAATTTTTTATTGAGAAGATTGTTAAGTGGATCCAAGTCCGTGTTGTGGAACTCATTGGAAGTGTTGACTCCTGCGGGAGTTTCGATGATTCATTGAGCAAATATGAGGGTGCTTACTATACCACGTATTCCTTAAACATCCCACTGGTAGAATCAATGGTAGATGTAGATGTGAACTTTTGTGATTTTTCGTTCCATCTAAATATAAAGTATTCCAAGAATCATGAACGCAAATTAGAGTGCCTGTTTTTAAATTTGATTTAAATAATAATAGAATGGAGCCTAGGGGAACGGAACCACGTCAGGCTGTACCTCTGTCTAATCCGGCAACGCTGCCATGATGGATTGGCATTGCATTCCACACCGTCCGATCTGCCCACGATCCGCACGGAGATCCGTTGGGTGACTCATTATTTTTCGATAGATTTTCGATAATATTTTGTTTGTTCAAACATTTTGTTAGATTTGCTTTCCCCTACCCTCTGTGCTTTTTATATGCTTTTCAGTGTGTGTTTTTTTGTGTCACTCCGCGTCCTTCACTCTGTGTGTGTCACTATATACTTCATGCATACAGACAATATCTATTCTGCCAAAATCCTCCTGTTGACGAGCTTATAGAAAGTGTCCTTTGATGTACTGTACCCACCTCAATCCTGTATACCCACATCTGCCAACTCCGTTATCGAACTCCCTATCTTTCTCTCTCTCTCTCTCTCTCTCTCTCTATTTATATATCTCTCTCTGTGTGTCTCTTTCTCTCTCTGTCTCTCTCTATCTGTTTGTGTGAAGCGCCCCCCGATCTGCCACGCCCCGCTAAGCATTATCATTTATCGTTTGCTGTGTCGCCCTAATATTGAAGAAAACCGAAAGCAAAAGTTAACCAAATTCTCTTTCTCTCTCTCTCTCTCTCTCTCTCTCTCTCTCTCTTTATCTATATTTATCCACACACACACGCACACGAATATACATACATATGCTTCTTCTCTTTGTATCTTGCTTATATATTTTTTGTGTGGAAATATCCTTTGAATTTTTGTTTGTGACGCTGCCGCTTCATAGCTTATGGATATGTACAAAATCGAGGAGGAGGCCTATAAGACACAAGGAAAAACGGAATTTTATGCCTAAGTTGTGGCCTGTTGTCTTACACAGGTCGCAGGGCGTGGAGGAGAGCACCGACAGATACATACCAAAAAGAAAATACAACAAGTTAAATAAATGATTGCAAGTGCATCAATCGGCATCTGATGAACAGATCCGATGTTCGGTGGATGGTTGAATCATCGCTGAAGATTAACATGGAAGATGGAAGACGACGAAGCATAGTCGATACATAAATGTACACATAAATACATATATACTTAATTATATAATGTATTTACACACACACACACACACACACACACACACATACCCATAGACACAAGCCTCTTGAGACGGTTAATAGAATATATTATATACCTACATACAAACAAACATTCATACATATATTTATATACTACATACGTGCATATGTATAGAGTATGTAAATGCCTTTAAGCATACATACATATGTATATGTTTTGTGTAGTAATTATCAACTAGAATTCAAACTGGAAAGTCAAACACTTTGTGCTTTATATTTATTTAAGATCTTTATGAAGATGAAGATGAAAATGAAAATGAAATGGAACACGCTCATCCGATAGTGCTGATGATGATGTTAATGGAGGAGCTAATGATGAAGGATTACATATTATGTGTATTTTACTTAGGGGCTGGTGGGAGTGGGAGGGGGGTGAAGGCCATGCTACCCACAGCAACAGCAAAGGGTCGAGGCTTGGCTCCCCTCTCAAACTCAATGTAATTTTTTGTGTTTTTTTTTTTTAATAACAAACGAAACCAAAAAAAGAACAACTGATAAACAAATGAAAATACACTTGATAGGTATTTTTGTGCTAGCCACACAATAACGGTACACCGATAAGTTTAGATTCCCCCACCACCACCACCACTCACAATTCACAATTCACACACAACACACACAGAAACTACACACAGATGCAGATACGGTGGAGCCAGGCATGCAGTCACTGGCATGGGGAATCATGATTCATGATGACTATGGAATGCACTGTACCCTCGGTACACACACACACACAGTACACATACATACACAAATATAATCATCCAATAACAAGAATCCCGTAAATATGTCCCCGACCCAAACAAGAATCCTCTTCTCTTCCCTAACAATCGTACGTTTCAAGAGAACTACTTACATGAGTTTCCGATTCTCCACCTAATAGCTTAGCAAACTAATTAACCAGTAAGCCAGTAACCAGTGTGAAGTAACCGATGTTTATTCCCCCTCTTAAAAAAAATCAAGCCAGCAAACAACACAGAGTAAATCGCTAAATCATTAAAAACAAAAAGCCCCACAAAGAATATAAAATATGCATATACGAGGGGGGAGTACAAAAAGATTCTATAGAAATACGAGTTCAGTGGCGATTCAGGAGCATTGCAGCAGTGTTATTTTGTTTTTTAATTTTTTTGGTGAGGAAAAGGTAAATCTAAAGCATTTATTTTCAAAGAATAAAAATAGCAGAAGAGCAGCAGAGGGAGGTAGGAAAACCAATTGCTATTTCTCGAAAGGAAACGAAAAGAAAGAAGGGGAAAGGAAAGGAAAGGAAAAGAGTAAAGGAGGAGCCTCTCCTTCGGTATGTCATGGAATGTCATAGGCGTCTTGAACTCGTAACTCGAACTCTCGATTGAAAAAAATAGTTGGATAAGTAAATGTTATAGCAAACCCAAGTACTACTTACGAATACATATAAAACAAAAGGAAGAAAATAAGAAAGATATGTATGAAATTCAAACAATGAAACACCCCTACCGGATGATATACTATATATACACACACACACACACACACACACACACACACACACAGACACAAAGGTACACACACAAATACACAAACAAATCTATATATGTATAGATATATTAATGTATATTTATAAGGGCTGATGGAAACTACCTAGAAACTTGTTGAACTTTGTAAACTATGTAAACTATTTTGTTGTTGTTTTTTTTGTTTTGGTTTTGAGTTCTCCTTAGATTTGATTGCCATTTCTCTGCTAAAGAAGAAAAGTAGCCAAAGCATATAGATACACACACACACACACACCCACACACACACACACACACACACCAAACACATACACATACATAAATATAGTTGTACACTAAATAGAAAGTAAATATGAAAAACAATAGAAACAAAACGAAGAAGAAATGAAACAAACTGTGCGTTGGTCAGACCGTTTATGTTGCACCCGAATTTTGAAGTTTGTATGTATTGTAGTTGTTGCAAAAAGATACTTACAAAGCATATTTTAAAATACCTTAAACATAAAAAATAAGTGAAACAAGAAACAATGGAAATGTAACACTACAGAACACATGAATCCCCCCCTACACATATTACGATATGTTTTTTGCCCACAATTGAATCGAAATCGAAATACTTGTGAATGTGAATGTGCCCAAAGATGATAAATGATTGATGAATGATGAATGAGGAAGATGAATGCGAAGAAGTTTACACTGTGCTATTAACGAAACGAAACCATTTAGTTAACTCTTGTTACAAGGTTATTGTACGACAGAAAATCTATATATTGTATTGTATTGTATTGTATGTATATTTAACCTACGCCTACGACTACGACTACAAGTGTATTTAGAGAATTGAGCAAGTTTGATGAATGTGATAAGCGGTTACATGTTATTACACGAAACGAAACAAAACCATGCAAGTGAAAAGAAAACCCTAAACAAAACCCTAAAAATTGTGAAAGAAAAGGATTCACCTAAGTTCCCTTTCAATTATTTCGGCCTTATCCAACACTAACAACACACTCCATGAAAATGAAATCTTTCTTTCACTCACTCCACGTCCCTAGTCTTTATTCCCCACCACAGACGGAGTTTCTGTGTTTTCGTTGAGAAAATGTGTGTAGAGCGAAAATTGAGCATTGGAGGTGAAAAAATATGTGGAGAAAATACGAATGCAAAGCTTTGTATGATATGTAATATAATGTGCCAATCCCAATGTTAACCAAAAACAAAACAAAAAACCTAAAAAAAACTTAAAAAAACAATTAAAAAACAAAAACTTAATGAAATGAACACCCTCCTACTAAAAATTGCAAACTAATTGATTTATTTGTACTTATACATTAGATAGAGGCCTAGCCTCTTAGTCGACAAACGTGACAAGTCCTCAAAATCCTGGCACACACCCAACACACACACATACAAACCCTCACACATACATATACACATGTACAGTCCAGGCAGTTGGTTGGGAATAAGCTTTGCCGTCTGATGACGAAGAGATGATTTGGTGTCCACATGGGTGTACACAGTACAGTACGTTTCGCATTTTAAAATTGTTCAATATGTTATCTGGTTTTAGAAAAAGATAAGAACTGAAGTTCGATATCCCTTGCACTTTGGCCTTTGGTGAATTATCGGTCACGATGCGGTCAAAAGCTGAACGGTATGAAACCTACAAGCGCAAAGTGGCGCTTTCTGTTGCTTTTTACGAGCAGATAGTTCGTTCCGATAGGTGCCGCCAGCTGGCATGGATGTAAGAAATCAAAGATACATGTATAATCTACATACAATTAGACACAGAATAAACGGACTTTTGAAATTCGATTAGTAAAAAGACCGTTACAAATGATCCATGTTAATATTCTCTTTTCGCATTCTTCTTTTTTATGTTTTTTTCATGCTTAAAGCCACTTGAAACCGCCCTTGTGGTGTCTTCTTGTCTTTTGGGTTTTCACTTGTTGACCAAATATAATCTAGCATAGACTAAATAGGATAAATATGTATGTATATTCACTTGGCCGTAAGAGCACCTACTAAGACGAGTATCGCATTCGCTATCCAATCTAATTGGAAAATGCCTAAAAGAATGTCTTAAAATAATGCCACGCTAGTTTCTTGGCTTCTCAGCTTACACTCACCGATTGCCAGACATGCAAATACAAAACACAATTACTATTCCATATTGAACCATTTTATGGCCCACCCATGTGAAATGGTTAGAGCGGAGAATGGAGCCACCGCCCCCAACTATACCCAACTAACATAAACCCACTGTAAAAATATTCGTGTGACTACAGAATGTTCGATCTATAGTTTATCGAGATCAGATCCGAATATATCCGAGGATAGATGCTAGAAGGTAGTTGAGCAAAAGAGAAAGAAGCAAGGAGCAAGGAGCAAAGAAATTATATTAACTTGTATGTATTAACAATGCTGCGTATGAACTTATGATTATATACTATGAAATATATATTACACTACTTATTATGATTATGTACCATTATTAGAGCTATTATGATTATGATTACCGATGAACAATCGAGCGAGCAATCGATAAATATTAGAAACCGATTTCTAACACCACATACCGCCCGCACCTGCTCGTATACGTATTACTGGTAGTACGAGTAATGATTTCCTTTGATTTTTGTATTCGCTTTGGTTTATCCTGTCTCTGTCTATTGTTTGCGGATTGACAAGTCTTCATTTTGGGCTTGATTTTGATCTTGGGCCCCGATACGAAGCCAACACGAAGCTCCCTCTACCAGGGCAATTATTTTCGATTTACTTAGTTGTAAGCGCATTCGTCCCGACCCCACACCCGAGCATTCACAGTGCACACACAGAAAATATCAAATTTAAGTTCCGTTTCATCATCACCAATTCGGCACGATGTAAACTGCGAGTGCTCGTACTTATGTACATACATAGTACATGGATTAGCACACACTTTCAATTTGTTGTTGATAGGCAATGCAATTGATCCCCGAGCAAAACGAATACGATTGTTCGGCTGGAGCAAGAGACGGGACGAAACCAAAACAATCTGGAGCAAAATAAATACCAAAACTAATTAAAATATATATGTTAAAACACACACACACAGGCAATGCATTATATACATACATACATAAAACATACATACATTTATACAGTTACTACAATTAGATGAATTCTCGAATGCAATTTCATATTTGTGTGCTATTTACGTTTGTTAATTTGATTGTGAAACGAGCCAACTGCTTACGCATGCCCGTTCCAATACAATTTAAACACAATTTAACAAAAGTTGTACAAAAAAACAAATATCCATAAAGTTTTTGGGTGTTGGTGGTTAATAAATAAATCTTTAACTGAAAAGCAGTGCGTGGCTTATAGTTTTCCTATCCTATCCTATTCGCAGCCCGATATTGGTTGTTGCTGGTGGCGTGCTGTGTGCTACAAACCTTTTGGTGTTCAGGCAAGGCCGGCTAGCCAGTCATCCTAGGACTGGGTCCGCAGACGTGGACCAGGTCGAGGTGTCGATGGTCTCCCTCCGACGAACCCACCATACCTGAAATATGTAAATGCGGATAATTAAATACATAATCAAAATTACACAGACATATATTTATTATTTTCTAGTCTTTGGGGCTTTTTATACCCAGTACTCGAGGAGTAAATAGGGTATATTGTATTTGTGGGGAATAACGGTGTATGTAACGCACAGAAGGAAACGTTATAAAGTATAGGTAAATATAGTATATTTATTCTTGATCAGCATCAATAGCCGAGTCGATTGAGCCATGTCTGTCTGTCCGTCTGTCCGTCCGTCCGTCTTGTTGAGCGCCTGGATCTCAGAGACCATAAAAGCTAGAGCCACCAAATTTTGGCTCCAGACTGTCGTATGCTCACACTGAAACCAGTGTATTTCAAGAATAAGCCCCGCCCCGCCCCCTTCCGCCACCCGCAAAATGGCGAAAACCTCCCCAACCTACAGATTTGAAGATAAAAGAAAACTAAAAACGCCATTCCGTAGGGAATGGCCATATCTATCAGATCACCAATTTGGCATCCGATTGGATTATTATTATAGCCACAATGGAGAAATTAATTTGCAGTGGCTAAACCCACTCTGTCCCGCAGCTTTTGTTGTTCTTTTCACATTCTCTCATTCACATTCTGCTTCTGCTTCACTCGGCGTCTGCCTCTGCCGTCCCTCTGCCTCTGCCTCTGCCGACTTTTAACCCACCCCGTCCCGCAGCTTAAATTTGTTTTTTTTTTGTGTGCGGGCGTTGCCTCTGCCTCTGCCGCGAGTCTGCAGTGTGTGGGTCTAGGGAAGGGCGGCGAGCTAACGGAGCGTGTTGGCGTGAGAAGTGTTGTAGATGTAGATGACAGATGAAGAAAAAATTTAAAATTTGACAAAACACCGCTAAGGTGCAGATGTAGTACTGAGTGCCTGGTATAAGAGTTGTGACGCGTAAGAAGCGTCTCACACGTACCTTCTCGTTATTCTTCCTGCATGCCGTGGGACGGGGAATTGGATGTGATTAAATAAAGGAGGCCTAGCGACTTCAAAAACAATATGCCTATCTCCCTTTGGAGCGGACTCACTGATTCCGGATCCCCTGGCTTCCACTATGGCCTGATTCGGGCTGGTTGCCGCTCTTATTCCATTGGGGGTATGGGTGAGCTGGCTCCGGGGTTCCCTCTGTGGATTGAATCCGCTCTTCTGATCGATCCTCTCTCTCGAATACCCGGATAACCCGACCAGGTGGCGCCACTATTGCTCGGCTTTTCGCCTTAAATCCTAGCCCTGCCACCCTGTTTCGAAGTACTTCCTGTTTTATTTTGCCAATGGATTTCCTTCGAATGCAATACATGCATTGTGCGTTTTCGTTTAAAGGTTATTTGAAGCAAAGTTAACCAATCTTGTGGACAATTTAATTGTCTATCTAATAAAATTGCTTGTTAAGTGCTAAGAGTTCTATCTTTGCAGTAATATTACAGAAACATCAAAGCCGAGCAATATGATTTTCATCGGTATATTTACGGTACTTTGTTCAGGGGTTTTCGGTATATTTTATCGATAATTCTGCGGTCACAAAAACAGCTGCTTGCAAAACGTAAACAAACCCAGGGGTGATATTAGTAATATTTTGTTAATTAATTGTGGCACTTTTAGCAGCTGCTAGCGATTCGCACCGCCCCAGCACTAGTGAGACCCAAACAATCAACTGATCCCGTTCCATGACCAGGAGCATCTCCCACCTCGTGTCCATCAATCCCTGTCCGAGTCCGAGTGCGTTGTGATATTTCGGGGTCTAGTGACACCTGCGCTCGTCGCGTGTATGTGTGTGTCTGCGCGTGGGTGCAGTGGGAAGTGCCCGGACCTGGACGCCGGGCGAGTTGCTAGCGGGAGCGTGAGCGAGATCGAGAGCGAAAGCCATGTATAGGGTGCTGCTCGGTGGCCTGTGCCGCTCGATCCCAGCCGGAGGACATGTGGGGAGCCGCAGTGTCGTGTCCACACGCACACTGAGTGTTGCCACCGGGCACACGGATCCCGCCGATGAGCAGGTCTTACGAAAGCGCAAGTTCCAGCCCCAGCAGGCGCCCGATCTGAGCGAGCAGCTGGCTGGCCAACTGCCTGGACGGGCGCGTGTCGTCATCTGCGGCGGCGGCATTACAGGAGCCTCGGTGGCCTACCACCTGGGTCTGCAGGGTTGGGGCGGCGAGACGTTGCTCATCGAACAGGACCGCGTGGGCGGGGAGCTGCCGTGGAGCGCCTGCGGCCTGGCCGGCCGCTTCGAGCCGAGCTACACGGAGCTGAAGCTGGCCGAGTACTCGATCGATCTAATAAAGCGACTGACGAAGCGCGGCCTGCCCACTGGCTGGCGGCAGGTGGGCAGCCTCAACCTGGCCCGTAACTTTGACCGGATGACCTCGTTTAACCGCATGAAATCCCAGGCCGTGGCCTGGGGCATGAACTGTGAGATTCTCTCGCCCGAGCAGTGCCAGCAGCACTGCCCACTGCTCTCGCTGGACGGCATCGAGGGCGGTCTCTGGATACCCGAGGACGGCGTCTGTGATCCCCATCTGGTGTGCCACGCCTACGTGGACGAGGCCCGTCGCCTGGGCGTACAGATCGTTGAGCACTGCGCCATCAAGAAGATCCACAGCGAGCACGGCAAGGTGAAGCGGGTGGAGACTACGGCCGGTGATGTGGACTGCGAGTATTTCGTGAACTGCACCGGATTCTGGGCCCGCGAGGTGGGCACACTGTCCAAGCCGGTGGTGAAGGTGCCCCTGAAGGCGGTGGAGCACCACTATCTGCACACCCAACCCATAGACGGCCTCGACCCAAACACACCATTTGTGCGCGACTTTGATGGGAGGATCTTCTTCCGGGAGTGCGAGGGCCACATCCTGGCCGGCGGTTTTGAGCGCGAGGCGAAGATGGTGTACGAGGATGGGGTTATCCCGCTCTCGCAGACGGCGCGCCAGTTTCCGCCGGACTGGGACCACTTCCACGAGCTGCTGGACGCCCTGCTAGTGCGCGTGCCCTCGTTCCGGCAGGCCAGCCTCGACAGGCTCACCAATTCGTTGCAGGTCTTCTCGCCCGACTGCAAGTGGATACTGGGCGAGGCGCCGGAGATCCAGAACTACTATGTGGCCGCAGGCAACAAGACCATGGGCGTGTCGGCGTCCGGTGGAATTGGCCGCGTCCTCACCGATCTCATCACCAAGGGCTCCACCTATCTCGATCTGCACATCCTCGACATCAGCCGCTTCCTGGGGCTGCACAACAATCGCAAGTTCCTGCGCGATCGCTGCAAGGAGGCGCCCGGCAAGCACTTCGAGATCAACTATCCCTTCGAGGAGTTCCAGACGGGACGCAACCTGCGCATGTCGCCCATCTATCCGCAGCTTAAGGAAGCGGGCGCCGTCTTTGGCCAGTCAATGGGCTACGAGCGTGCCAACTATTTCGACCAGCAGGACAAGCAAGGTGGGTGCACAGTCAGTCACAGTCCTTTCTGTAATCTGCAATCTGCAATCTGTAATCCGTCATTTGTATCCCTTCATCTATAGATGAGTTTGGTCTGCCACGGTTCCGCATTGCCCAGACACGGACATTTGGCAAGCCGCCGTGGTTTGACCACGTTGCATCGGAGTATCGAGCGTGCCGCGAACGTGTCGGCATTGCCGACTACAGCTCCTTCACCAAGTACGACTTCTGGTCCAAGGGCAACGAGGTCGTCGAGCTGCTCCAATATCTCTGCTCGAACGATGTGGACGTGGCCGTGGGCTCCATCATACACACGGGCATGCAGAATCACAACGGTGGCTACGAGAACGACTGCTCGCTGGCCAGGCTTTCGGAGCGACAGTGAGCAATGGAGGAGCAATTCCTTCTGCCCTTTGGCTTTGGCTCCCACTCGTTCTAATCCCAAATGCATTACGTCTCTCCTCAGCTACATGATGATTGCACCCACCATTCAGCAGACGCGCTCCATGTGCTGGATACGCAAGCACATGCCGGACCATCTGCGGGCCAAGGTGAATGTGGCGGATGTGACCTCCATGTACACGGCCATCTGCATCCTGGGCCCCTACTCGCGCGTCCTGCTCTCCGAACTCACCGACACGGATCTCACGCCCAAGAACTTTCCCTTCTTCACCTACAAGGTGGTGTATGCTGTGAGAGTGGTGCCTGCTGCTGCACTGATGCTCATTTTCTCTGAACTCTTTGCAGGAACTCGATGTGGGCCTGGCCGATGGCATCCGTGTCTTGAACATCACCCACACGGGCGAGCTGGGCTACGTCCTGTACATACCCAACGAGTATGCGCTGCACGTCTACTCGAGGCTGTATCAGGCCGGGCACAAGTTCAACATCCAGCATGCAGGTGAGTGCTCGTTCAAGCAGTCTGTTCACCAATCTGTTAATCTGCAATCCCAATGCATCCTCGCAGGCTACTATGCAACGCGTGCGCTGCGCATTGAAAAATTCTACGCGTTCTGGGGCCAGGATTTGGATACCTTTACCACGCCACTGGAGTGCGGCCGTAGCTGGCGTGTCAAGTTCAATGTGAGAATGACGCGCAGGATGCACAAGAGTGCAGAGTACTTTATATTTATATTCGTTGCATTCTTTTTCTCCCCGGCAGAAACCCATCGACTTCATAGGACGCAATGCGCTGCTAAAGCAGCGGGAGGAGGGCGTCACGCGAATGTATGTCCAGCTGCTGCTCAACGATCACGACCACGAGGTGGACATGTGGTGCTGGGGCGGCGAGCCCATCTACCGCGACGGCGTCTACGTGGGCATGACCACCACCACCGGCTACGGCTTCACGTTCGAGAAGCAGGTCTGCCTCGGCTTTGTGCGTAACTTCGATGAGCAGGGCCGCGAGCTGGCCGTGACCAATGACTATATACTCTCCGGCCACTATGAGGTGGAGGTGGCCGGTGTCCGGTTCGAGGCCAAGGTGAATCTGCACTCGCCCAATCTGCCCACCAAGTTCCCAGATCGCGAGCGCGAGGCCTACCATGCAACGCGCGACAAGCCCGATCAGGCGGATCTCTTGTCTTTTAGCTCCAATCCAATGACAACGGTGACAAGGAGCGGCGGTGGCACCGGCGGGAGCCAGTGAGAAGAAAGTCCAGGACAAAGAGCCAAAACCAGAGCGCTATAAGTCCTGGCATCCCCCCGCTCGTACGTTTGTTTGTTCGTTTGCTCGTTTCTAGATTAACTCGAGAGTCTCAAAAGCCAAGCGATATTATTTTGATGTAGTGAATTCCACCAGTGAATGATACGAAGAGAGACGGAGTGTCGGAGTGGGAGACAACAAATAACATTTGTTTGCTCAATCATCGAACCCTCCCCTGCCTTCCCCCCACATACTCTGCTGATCCGATATGATCTGATCTGATGTGGACTTGTTCTCTTTTTCTGTGTGAAAGTGCGTCAATTAATCCAGATACAATACCCCAAATGATGTACGCTATAGCTATACCATAGATATGTACGATTATGTGTGTGTGTGTGTATATATTGAATGATCTTCCGGTGATTTTGAATTGTTGCACATTGTTAAATCTGGCACAAAGGAAACGTTTTGTTTTTGCTCAAAGCTTGCCACCATCCATCAGCTTTGCTTTGCAGTTGTTAACGATGGCATTTGGGCAAATTTAGCCAAAAATGCTTCTAGTAGAAAAACAAAAGAAAATGAAAAAGAAAGACACAAATAAAAAAGAGGGTACGGGGAAACGTCTATTGGTCGATCAGAGCGAAACCTTTTCTTTAAGACAAACAATATACATATTTATAATCAGATTTTTACTAACACAACGTTCTACAGTTTCTATTTTTCATACTGGTGTACATTAATGTATGTATACATATTAAATATTTTATTATTATTATTACATTTTCTTTTATATATGTACATATGTACTATTTAGTTGTACGTATGGGCATGTGTCTATAAATTTACAGTTTATATAACTATGCGTGTCATGGTAAATCGGATTACACGTCTTGCGGCAGTGCCCCTCGGTCGGCAGTGCCTTTTGCCTGTGGATAAGATTGCTGATGGTGGAGACAGTACATATCAGCCTAATAACGAACAAATGTTCAGTTGTGGGACTCATTTTCTAACTCCTTAAATTAAATTAATGAATTCCTTAAACCAATCTCATATCGAGTTCGTGATCCCTATGCCAGGTACAACGAGAAGGGACGTGTGAGACGCTTCTTACGCGTCACAACTTTTATACCCGGCACTCAGGACTACATCTTTACCTTAGCGGTTATTTGTCAAATTTTACATTTTTTCTTCATCTGTCATCTACATCAACAACACTACTCACACTAACACGCTCCTTTAGCTCGCCGCCCTTCCCTAGACCCACACACTACAGACTCGCGGCAGAGGCAGCGCCCGCACACAAAAAAAAAAACAAAAATAAGCTGTGGGACGGGGTGGGTTAAAAGTCGGCAGAGGCAGAGGCAGGGGCCGAGTGAAGCAGAAGCAGAGTGTGAGTAAGAGAATGTGAAAAGAACAACAAAAGCTGCGGGACAGGGTGGGTTTAGCCACTGGAAATTAATTTCTCCATTGTGGCTATAATAATGATCCAATCGGATCCCAATGTGGTGATCTGATAGATATGGCTTGATGCTGATCAAGAATATATATACTTTATGGGGTCGGAAACGCTTCCTTCTGTGCGTTACATACAACCGTTATTCCCCACAAATACAATATACCCTATTTACTCTTGGAGTACCGGGTATAAAAAGAGAGAGATGAAGAGGGAGACAGATAGCAGAGCAACTGATCTGCTGATCTCGGTAAAGTGATTGACAATATTAGGACTTTAAATACATAGTTATCAACTACAGCCTGTTAGTGTTCCGCTGGATCTTCCAGTGATCGTTAGCATCTGTGAGTCATAGCGAAAATGGTTGATCGGAAGTAAATTCTGGAAGAATTCCTTTAAGATGGCAGCAATCTTCGGCACTTGAAAACATTTGTGCCGCAGAAACAATCATACATACCACATATGTACATAAATACATACTACATTTATGTATACAATATATACATATGTATTTGTATATGGGTCCGCAGAAATGGCGCCATTGACAGCGATTTGTCGCCGCTTTTCCACAGAGCGACCACAAATTGAAATTTACCCTAGACTCGGACGCGGACTGAGAGCAAGAGACTAATACCCCACTCAGGGTGAGTGAAGCGGAATCGGTATTTGAATCAGAGCCTGGGCATACTAGTATGTATGCAAATTTGGTGATTGCTCTCTCTAGATGCAGCGACGGGCTGCCGCCGCCTGTCCGAGGTCCGTTTAAAAACAAACCAAACAACAACAAAAAACCACAAGATGAGGCCAGGACGGTAGGAGCAACCACACAATAAATGGGCATAAATTACAAGACATGATGCAGGAGGGAAGAGGGAGGACAGAGGAGAAGAGAGGAACCGCTGCCGTTGCCGCAAGTTCAAAATTGATAATTTCTCTTTGGGATGTCCCTGTCTGTGGCTGTTGGCTGGTGCACTGGCTGCTGCATTGGCTATGGCTATGACTTGGGGTCTGTCTGTCTGCCTGGCGCCGGAGTGCGGCGTTGCCACTTGAATTTTTGATTTAACAAATGCTCATTTGTAAAACGGCAACGAGAACAGGGAGCTCCACACAGCTCAGCTCAGCTCAGCTCAGTTCAGTTCAGCTCCACAAAAATTCAAATGTGCAGCGATGGCCACAAATCAAGCCAAGCAAAGACTTAGTGAAGAGCCAACAGGAGGAGCAGCAGCAGCAGCAGCAGGATGGTGGCAGGTGGGGGGCCATGGGGCACAAGACAGCAGCTGGGGCCAGGCCGGCCGAGCAGATCAGAGCCGAAACTTTTGCACAACTGGCAACAATAATAATGTCACGTTTATCGTGTGCAGCTAATTACTAACAAAAAGATAGTTTGTAATCCTACACAGCAGACCGGAGAGCAGGGCCGGCTGCCGCAACACAGAAGACCAGGCCAAGAGCCAGCCGAGCGTGGCCGAAACTGCCCCCAGGATAAACCAACAGCAGCAGCAGCAGCAGCAGCAGCAGAAACAGCATCAGAAGTCCCGTGAGATGGAAAGGGTTAAGGGGCAGAAACAACACCGACGTAGTCGTCGTCGTCGACGTCGACGATGATGACGACCACCAGTAGCCAGTAGTTGGCTCTTGGAAAAGTTTGTGGACCAAGCGAAAGGAAAGCACAAGCCAAGGCTCTCAGGCAGCAAAGCACAGCATCGAAACTTGGCCAAAACATGTGCACAAATCTTTGGCCAGAGAGTTTTTGGGCATTAGCACACGCCTGAATTTCTTAGCCAAACATACACAAGCAGACAGACAAGGAGAGAGAGAGAGATGGGAGCAACAGCAGGACATGAACATCAAACACCAGACCCTACTTAGAGAGTGCTAAACATTTTACCATATCTTTCATTATAAGTATGGCAGTGCTCGTATGGATGTCCCTTGAGGATGTCTTCGTGGAGGAACAACAAAAAGTTTATTCTAGCTGAAAACTACAAGGTATATTCTGCTAATATTATTACTTGTTATTACACAGTCTTGTTTTTGTTCATAATGAAGTCCTGAAAAGGATTAATTGCATTAATCTTAGCATTAGCATCTCAGCTTCCGTGACATTTTGGCACTTTCAATAATATCGCTCGATGAAATTCAATCGAGCTGTAATAAGGGTCTTGTGGAGTATTTGTATGACTAATGTAAAATATGATTATTTAATATTTTATTTTAAAATTGTGTTGGCAAGTGGAGTTGTATTCATAGTTCCAAACTTTCGAAACAATTATTTCCTAGCGTCATTTAAAAACTTGTTCATTTGCCACTAGGGATAAGGGATCAGTAGATGTCATTGTTCCGAATTAAAAACCCCAAAAAACTTAGGCCTTAAAAAAATGCCATGCCATAGAATACATTTCAATGCCAAGGATATCAGGAATCTTGTAGGAAACTTCAACTTTGGCTCACTATATCTGCAGATATGGCCATTATATCGAAGCGATAAAACACTTAGAAAAATACAATCCAATAATCTTTTCTATGCGATCCATTTATCAATTATTCTGAATATCGTCGCTGTAAATGCCAAATGTGTAGCAGTTTTGGATGTTTTCAAATAAACATTTTGCGTCTAAGTTGTAAATTATTTCAGCCTGAATCATTTCTTTCACTGCTTTTGGGGAATACGACGGGAGAATTATCCAGGAGGACTCTTTGAGTATCCACAGTATCTGGCCTTATTCATGTCTTAAACTGTGTTCTCTTCATTGCTCCACAAAGTCAATATTTGATATGCCCCTGGTCAGGGGAAGCATGGGATGGGATGGGATGGATATGGCTCTGGCACTGGCTACCCCCCGATCCGAATGTTTGCACAAAATTAACAAATGCCTGGGCAGGGGCAGGATTTGTTTCGATGGTATAATGATTTCAAATCTCCGGCCAGAAGTAATGCGCCTCATTAGAGGTTAAGCTCCTTCTGGCATCGAATGGACTTGGGCCGAGTGCCTTGGGGCTGTGCCACCACATCCACATCCTCATCCTTCACCCGCTGGGATTTGCCGGAGCTTTGTTTGCCTAATTTTCCACGTTGATTTTCTAGCCGCAAAACAAATGAAACGCCCGCTGCATATTAAGCTTCTAATTTAATTTGCAGAGATATCGAAGAGGGGGAAACGAACCAACCCGAAGCGAGTCCAGCAAAAAGCGCTGAAGAATGGGCCATGCCACCCCTGGACTGGACCACAATGTAGCCAAAGAGAGAGAGAGAGAGAGAGAGAGAGAGACTCCCTTTAGCTTTGTGGGGGAAGATGGGTTGTCTGGGAGTTTGCCTAAATGCTTCATAATGAAAATCTGTGATATCTTGTGGTTCGGTTCGGCTTTGATTTCAACTCTCGCTTTAGCTTTTGTTTTTTTTGTTTTTTTCCTTTTCCTTTTGCTTTTTTGTTTGCTCTCGTGCCCGGCCGTATGCTTCTCTCAAGTGGCTGATTGTCTGTCAATAGTCGAGTGGAGGACGGGCATGGAATGGGTTGGGATGGGATGGCGACAAGTTTTAGCCTGTTCGGTCTGTGGGGGATTACAACATTCGAGTGCCGGGCACGTTCCACGCTCCAAGAAGTTATTAGTGACCTTAAGCCTAAGCCTTTGATTGCCAGATTCAAAGTGAGAGACCGAGAGATTGTCTATCTCCCTTTCCGCAAAACACAAGCCGAAAGCCAAAGTGTAACCCAATCCAAAACCAAAACCAAAACCAAAACAAGACTAATTTGTTTATGAGATTCTTATGCGCACTTTCAGCAAATTGCATTTGAATACTCTCGGCCGTCAGATCGGTTCGGACTGGATCGGGAGTGGTTCGGTTCGGTTTGGTTGGGTTTGGTTCGCTTCGGTTCGATGTTGGAGTTGGGGTTGGGGTTGTGGCTGGGACTGGGGTGTGTTTGTGGGTGTGGGTGTCAAAGTCAAGCCATTCTGAATGGGAACATTTTAATACGCGGTTACACAACGCACAGAGCCTTGTGCCACAGATGCCACAGTGGTGCAAGATACAGCAGGAATTTTGGTTGTATTTGCAAAATTAGGCAAATTACATTCGCAGTTACAGTTGATGAAAATGTTCCTTAAAAGTTCATGGAATTGTTTGTCTATTAACTAAGTTG